TAATGTTTTATGCTCTTTACCCCACTTTCTTCTCATAACAAACCTATAAAGAAGGTAGTGTTATCCTTAATTAATGGGTTAAAAAACTGAAGTTAGACAAGACCTAAGTTTGAGTCCCAACTCCCACTTACCAGCTGTGTGATGTTAGGCAAACTGCATAAGCACAGGGACCCACAGATCCATGCTTTTCAGCACCACTCTGCTGCCCCTCATATCAGACTCACCAGGCCAAGGAAGGACTTGGGGTCAGAAGCAACGGAGTCTGAGAACTGTAGTTCCTTCATGTGTTCACTAGTCTCCGACTCCTGGGGAAACAGACCCACAGAAAAGTCACCCGGAGCAGTGCACAGTGTTGTACAGTGCACAGGGAACTCCGTTCAGGCCATGACGCCAACACAGGGCTAAGCCCAAACCAAAATCCACCTCTTCCGAAAAACCTGAAAGAGGCCTGTGGACCCTCCCATTCCCTTTGGACATGCGCACCAAACCCCAGCCCAGTCAGGCTGGGCAGCACAGCTGAGTGTGGACAATCACACTCTGACTCAGGTCAGCAAGGATTTACATGTGTAAGGAGAGCCGAGTGGAGTGGAGTGGAGATGGTTAGAAAGTTGGCAGTAGGGAATTTTGATGCTACCCCAAAGAAAAACACAGAGTGAGAGCCTCTTTCCCAGGAAGCAGTTAAAAGCCCTTTAAATTAATTCCCTCACCATCTACCTGGCGGAGGAGCAGGACTAAGGGTTGGAAAATCGAAAATGCCGAAGGCTTTCCCCACTGGGTCCTCCTTCTGTCCATGTGGGTCATTGGCCAGGTTGTGCCAAAGCAAGACTCCCATGTCTTGGGTTGGTTCAGAAAGAGCCAGAAAAATCAATGAGAAGTCTTCCCGTAACCTAACTGACCGGGTGCTAGAGCAGGAACGCCAGTTGTCTCCCCAGCCCTCTCAATGTTCTCCTCTCTCTACAGGAGCTCATTGCTGAAACCATGACTACCCCCAAACTGATGTCAAGAAGTAGAAGGGGGAGGTAGGAAATGGAAGAGGAAGGAAGTAGGAGAACAGAAGAACATGAATATTCCAGGAGGGTGCCAATGGAAATGGAAATTTCTGCTCTGAATTTCTAGAGCCAGCAGGTTTAGAGTTTCATTCAGGATTAGACCTCCTGCTGCGTCTGGGCACATTTGTCACAATTAAGAGTTCTGGCTGGCTGATATTGACAGCCCATTACAAGCCTTCAAATGAAGCTCCTGCCACAGTAATAAAGATCTGGGGACAGAAATCTGCACCGGGCTTGCAGCTGTGACTGCCTGTGGGACAAAGTGACTTACTTCACTGGCGTCTGATCTGCTGTCTTCCAGGACAGAAGCCTCCTTCCTTGGCTCCTTTGCTGCCTCTTCCTTCCTGGAACCCTCCTCTCCTGTAGCCACTGGGTCCTCTGGTGCATCTTTTTTATTGGCTTTAGCAGGCTGATCGTCCCCAGGGTCCAGCAGACTTCTGGACATCACAGAATCACTCTTGTCATTCTTTTCTCTTCCTGGGAGCTGGGCACTGGCCCCTCTTCCCTGTTGCCCTGTGCCATGGGCACTGCTCAGGCTGCTGTCTGCACCTTGACTGAGGAGCTTGCCGGGAGTAGCGGGGCGGGCAACATCTGAATCAAGAGAGATGTCCTTCCCCTCTGGCTTGCTTGTTCTTGGAGACTCCTGGGGGGCAGCAGACCATGTCAGAAAGGAAGTTGTCAGGGATTAACAAAAAGAATTTAGAGACTTGCTACAAGACAGAGCAGTCATTCCTTGACTCCTATAGGCCAGTGCTCTAGTTCTGACACCAGTGGTTATCAAACACGCCAAAAGCTTCTTAAAACACATGAAGCATGGTTTCTAGAGGTAATGCTCTGCCAAAAGGCACCTGAACTACTCCCTTGATTGAATCCAGGGTAGGCAGCCAGGATAGGCAGGTCTGGGACAAAGAAACCATGGATGCTGGCTCCACCCCAGACCTACTGAATCGGAACTTCATAGTGATTTGGACACGCCCAACCTGACCCCTGACTACTGATGGGCTTGGAAACCACCGCACTGGACTGTACAACTCTGTTACCACCTATCATGTCCTTGAGTAGTAAGTCGGTCTAGTTCTAGCTTCAACAGCCAAATCATAAGTCAATATTTATTTACAATGATGATGATGGAAAATCATGTGAGAGAAAAGTACCAATGTCTATTTCTATTTCTCATTTTTAAAAGGCAGCAGGGAAAGAATATCAGGAGGGTGCCCTTCTTCAATAGCAACATGGGTTGCTCTCTCCCTAAAGCCTCTCCTGTATAAGCAACCCTGGAGACAAGTCCTCTGTCAGAGGACACCAACTGAGTCCTCTGAGAAGCAGATGCCAGGATGGGATTAAGTGTTTAAGCGATTTGTGGGGAGGAAAGCCTATGAAGGATAAAGGAGGTAGGAGAGCCTTCAGGACACAGGTCTGAGACCAGTGACAGGAGAGAGGGAAGGAGGGGACTTGAGTAGGAAGAGCCTCAGACCGCAGCACAGTTCTGAGAAACGTCTTGACCAGTCCTGCAGGGGTCCCGCATCAAGCAGAAATGGCCCTGCTCAAGGGCCTTCTGTGCTCCATCACCTCCATCAACAAGCGTGGCCTTGGCATGAGCTGGGGAGGAACAAAGGTGCAGGAACTAGAGGCTCAGTCCACTGAGGCTCCTTCAGCAGGGTCTCTGGAAAGGCTATCTGGGCAGTGCGCCTCACAGCTGCCACACTCTGCATCTCACACACAAACGTCACTTTTTAAGACTAGGAGGAACCTTTAGAGCTGGCCAATAGAAAAATAGAAAAAGAACCCCTCTCCCCTAGGAAATGTAGCCAGTGATCTCCCCTGGGCTCACGCAGAGAGGCCTTCCTCCCAGAAAACATGTGCACTAATACTTGAGCTGCCAGTGTGAACAACTTCGGAGCAAGATTTTTGACACTTCCTGATTCCCTACCCTAGAGACTCAAACAAGGAACATGATATCTAGAGTCCAAAAGTCCAAGGAGCAGCCCTAAACATGGCATTCCCTGACACCGTCTGTTTAAGGATCTGCTGAACCCAAAGAAATGACCATCTGCCTGCAGGTCTGGCCAGCCCAGACTTTGCAAGGACTGTTACAGAGCAGAGAAGGTCAGAGCTCAGCTTCGGAGACAGACTACCTAGTTCAAATCTTGGCTCCATGCTTACAGTGACCTTAGACAAATTATTTAATTTCTCTGTGCCTCAGTTTCTTCTTCTAAAATACAGGAATATAGTAAGGCCTATCTCATAGGGTTGTTGGAAAGATTAAATAAGTTAACACTCATTAAGTGAGTTAAAGAACTGAGAACTGTGCCCGGCATACCGTGTTTCATAAATGTTAACTAATGTTTTATGATGAGACCCAAACGTTCATTCACTGATCACCTTCTATGTGCCAAACACCACCTTGGGAACCCAAATACTAACAAGACATACATCTTGCCCTCAAGGAATTCAACTGAATATGTAGAAAAGTCAAATGTCCCAGGTGGCTCTGGTTATGAGCCTTTACTTCCCAAAGCAAAAGGCACTAGACACGGTGGTGATGCTGGCACCAGCCCCAAGCCTGACGCAGGGAGAAAAGCGCAAAGGCAGGTACCCTCCAGTGCTGGCCATCCTCCCAGCATCCCTAACCTATAGTATAGAGAGACTGTGCCATGATCACTGGGCTAAGAGAAGGGGACATGATGAGCTAGCGCCTCCTCTTCAACACAAGCATCTTCAGGGTGAGGCAGACCTCCTCATCTCAATCTCCCCAAGAGTGGCCAGCACTCATCAGNTCCCAATTCCCCAGCACTGTTCCCATCCCCCAATTCCCCAATAAAAATCTTTAGAAAAAAAAAAAAAAGAGCTCCAGCTTCGGGCTTCCTCTGCCAGGGTGGGTAGAGGGTGGCTCAGGGGAACCAAATCCAAGCCAAGCCCTGCTACTACTTTATACCAAGTGGCATGACCCAAAAAGAGGCTGCTGGCTGCATTAGGTTTTATGCAGGACCTAGAAATCTGTCTTTTTTAAAGCCCCCAAGTATTCTGATATTGGCCAGGTTTTGGAGCCGGAGCAATGGAAATACACTCTGCCCAGCCAACTCGGTAACTTCCCCACTTAACAACCACTGCAAAAGGTGCCCCACAATTCACCTGCTCCACACCCTCCCTGACTAATCCCACCTGCCAGGCCTGGTTTGTGCCTCTACATCCCACCAGTGCTGCAAATGGGGGTGGCCGAGGTGTAGCAGGCACCTAGTGGCTGGGCAGCAGCCCAGGAGACTTGTCAGCCAGAGCTGAGAGAAACGCAACCAGCCTCACAGCTCTACCCTGTCTCCCATTCATTTTACTAAGGGCTCCCAGGCTTGATCCACATTAAACATCTTGTTTGTGTCACCCAACAAATTTCCATTTCACCCAAACCAAATGCTCCCTTAAACTTGCAGAGACCATGTACCAGAATTTCTATTCTCTTAAACCCACACAGGAGGAAAAAGCGATCATCTTCACTTTGGAAATGAAACCCCAGCATCCCTCCTGGCCAGAGCCTGAGGACTGGTCCTCACCACAGCTCAGTGATCCCATACACACTCGCGCGCGCGCACGCACGCGCGCACACACACACACACACACACAACCAGTCTCTGGCCTCCTAGATGCATGCATTGTTCCTGCAAGAACCCAGAGGCAATGATGTCACAGGCAATTCACACAGTAGTAATAGTAAATACACAGCTACGTTTATTTAATGTTTATATGCTAGTGTTTTACATTCTTTACGCCCCTTTCTTCTCATAACAGCTCCTAAGGACAGGATTTGTGTCTGAGTCATCCTTGTACCCCACTCTGGGTCACGCGTAACCCATGCCTACACAGAACTTGCATCTGGCAGGGGTGATCAAGAACCATAAAACAAGAGCAGCAGCACTAAGAAGAGCAAAGGGAGGGAATGATTCATCCTGCTGGGAGGAGGTGATGTCTGAGGTGGGCCTCCAAGACCAGGAAAGAGCCAGGACAACAGGGGAGGGGAGCACAGCAGGCAGAGCAGCAGAGGGGGGAGGGGATGGGGCCCAGCAGTAGGCTGAGGATGAGCCTGAAAAGGTTGCCTTGAAATCCACAGTCTACACAGTGCTTTTCACATGAGCCAGTGCAGTCCTCAGTTGCTAAATAAATGGATAAACAGACAAATATGGGTGGGGGTGTACCTAATTCATAGCATCAACAGAGCAGGAATTGTCAGAAGCCCCATCACAGAGTCAGGGCCGTGCCTTAATGAATTAGAAGGGAGGGAACTCCCAGAAATGCACCCCGGGATGGGCAGTGTTCAGCTCTGGGCCATCCCCAAAGTGAAGCCACAGCCCACCACCCAGTGAGATTCACCTCCCAGTGGGCCCCGTTCAGGACCAGGGAAAGCACATCAACATCCAGGAGGTGCTCCGAGATATGGCTGTGAAAACCCAAGTCCTGGAGACAGTGAACATGGGGAGGTCAACCCTGCCTCTGTCACAGTCGGCACCTACCAGGGCCTCTCCTCTACCGCCAACCTTCCAGAAAGGTGCCTACTATGTGCCAGACACTGTGCTAAATATTTCGACATCTACTAATTATTTAAAAATAACACCAGGATTAGATGGAAAGACATGTGATAAAGGAAGTATGTTAAAATGTTCACTGTAGACTCTAGTTGGTGAGTCTGTGGGTAGTCACTGTAAAATTCTTTTATTTTTCTGTATGTTTGAAATTTCTCATAATAAAATTATGGGGGGAAAAATAACCCCGGGAGAATGAGCACTCTTATCCTCATCTCCCAATTGAGGAAGCAGGTCTAAGAGCATATGTCATCTATCCAAGGTCACACAGCTAATAAACAATGGGGCTGTGGGCAGATATGCCCTGGGCGGACTGCAAAGCCCAAGCTCTCTGCACGCCACATGCTGCGAAGCGTGTCCCTTTCCAGCTGTCTCTCCCTCCCAAGCAGGGCACCCTGAGGGAGGCCAGAACACCCAGAAGACCTGTACGCAGCTTGGAAATGAGGCTTGGTAGACTCCTTCCAGCTTTTCCTTGCCTCTTTCCCATACAGGTGCCCCTCTGAACAACAGGGATTCATCAGTAGCACTTCCTCCACAGGCTTCTCTTTGAGACAGGCAGCAAGTGCCCACACAAGTGCCAGACCCCCATTGCCCTTTGGCTGCCACAGAACCATGCTCCTGCCCGCTCCACGCTTAAGATCCCTGCTGGGCTAAGTGAAGGATTGCTGCCTGACAGCATGCTTCTAGGGGCAGGCAGTTCTGTCAGCAGTCCCGAAAAAAGGGCGGGACGCCCAGCCAAGGTCTGCTCCTGCTGTCCATGGCTTCCTGCACCCGTTCCCATAGAGAAGAAAAATACAAATGGGCACATTTCTCCACGTGGCACTCCTTTGGAAGGGCCAAAGCCCTTGCTTCAGAGTTCTCAGACACGGCTGTTCTTCATGATGGTTTTTGCAACATGACTTTTTGCCTTCCCCTCCTAGCTTTGGTTTTCTTTTTTGGTGGCATTTTCCCTTCAGTTTGAGTTCTACTCCACTTAATACAGCTGCCATCTGCCTCCTAAGCCCATGGCTCAGTGAGGGGCTACAGCACACAGCTTCCTAATTCCTCTGCACTCCCTCATATCATTACTGTTCAT